TTTTTTTCAGATATCAACTTAATATTTAATACAATTTAAATTCTTCACCTTTAATATTTTAATTAGTTATTTTTTATGTTGATTTTTTTATAAATATAAAAACTTAATTAAAATTACTTAATCATATCAAATTTATTTTTATCATCATTTATACAAACTATTTTATTTTATCAAATTAATAATGCCACATATAATTTTTCAAAATCGATCCGCTAATTTTACCAAACAACATTTTGCAGAATCGCTAAAACTAACCGCTGGTCAAAACAGCTAACATAATCCGCTGGTCAAAACAGCTATAACAATCCACTAACAGCTAACAGCTAACATCTGATTACCAAACAAGGCCGATATATGTTTCATTTTGTTTATATTTCCATTTCTAGATGACAAACAACTCGTGCTTTTATCATAATCCAAGATTTGATGAATCTTACTAAAGACGACTAGTTAATATTCACAAGTCACTTTTGGCACTGTATATATAATAAATGTGAAGAACATTAATGAATATTTAATTCGAAAGCACATGTTATAATTAGTTTCTAACATGTTGGGTAAATGAATAAAATGACAAACCTAAGCTTTAGCTGGAACATTCAAAAAAATAAATAAATAAATAAATAAATAAATCCATAGAAGAAAAGGGTTTAAAATGCAATTAGTTGCACTCAAACGTTCAACTGTGTCGGTAAACTAACCTACCTTGTTCAACTTCGTATGCCAATTGCCAACCCAATCATCAATAAATAAATGTAAATATATTAATTAAGAAGGATAAAGAATAACATTACTAGCTTAAATTGTCTACTAAACATAATGAATAAATAATTTATTTCACATATTCAATAATTTTATTATGATGCGAAAATCATATCCCTCTTATAAATTAATTCAAAACGTGTTGAACTTAGGTGGCAGATTTTCACGCTTCGGATGCTAACATGGCGAAAATTTATGCTTCGTGATGTTGTTTTTATATTATTTTTGCTCTGGAGTTAGGGTTGGTATTAGACATAAATAACTTTACACATATATTCATTAACTCAACACCCATGTTGTACATGGGTATTAGTACTAGTAATTTTTGAATGAGCAGTCTTGCTATGGCCAGGGTTGGAGGCCTTTGCTTGCCCCTCTTCTAGCCTTGAGGGTGTTCGAATCGACGGCATCTCGCGCAACTCAGCCTCAGGCCAAGATGGGAGCTGTCGTGATGCCTTATCTTCTCTAGCCCTGGCCGCCGTCGAAGCCCCTATGGCCTCTCGTCTGTCTTCTTTGAGTCAAGTCGGTGCGGGGTGCCTTTCCTGTTCAGCCGAGCTCAAACACGAGGTGTGGTTCCCTTCCGGACATTGATTTTGGGGCTCGTCTAGACTTTTCCTCAGGCATCCTCCCTCGTTTGACTACTCGAGAGCTCACATTTGGGTTGAGGCTTCCTCCTCGCCAATCTAACTAGCTACTTATCATTGGAATTTTTGGGTTTGGGGCCTGGCTCTGCAACT